AGAGAGCAACTGTGTAATGGCTGGGCTCTTGGGCTCTAAATCTGAAAATGGAAATGCTTCTAAACACAATTAACAGATTGTAGTAATTCTATTAGAACTTCATATTTTAGAAAGGATTGCTATAACTGAAGAAGAGAGTTTTCTTGGGTGTTTTAATTCAACAGTCCCCGTGAATATGGAGAATCATCATGTCAGACTTCTGGATTTAGATAAAGAAATTATAGAAAAAACATGGATTCACTTACCACCCATGTTTTTGTAGCTATATGTACATAACATTAAGGTGTCCTTTTCAAATGCAATTTAAAAAGTGAAGAGGGGCAGAGAAAATAACTGAGCATATCTAAAAAGCTTGATATACAGTCACCTCTTACCTAACCAACACCTTTGCTTTTTACAGCAGGATGCACTTACTAGTCGAGCGGAAGCTGAAAAGAAAATGGCTTTAGTTTCAATTTAATCACAATGCATTTAAATAATTAAAAATATTTTAGCTACATTACTGCTAAGCTTTGCTGGAATCATCACTTTGCTTGAACATCTCTCACCACAGAGCTAGGTTACTTCTGAAGGTAGTTAGAGGTGCTCACCTCTGAGGGGTACCAGCTGCAGCAGAATTACTGTGAACCATGCTGAGTCCAGTTACCTGGGAACGATGATTTTATCCGACTTAACCCTTTCCACCGCAATCTTTTAACCTCTAAGTGGGCAGGCTTAGTTCAAAGCTGCCGTGTCTTGGAAGAAGTGGGGAAGGAATTGCACCTTAGTAGAAGCAAATTTTCTACCGCCTCCTGTTTAAAAAGAATGTGTGCTGTGCTGCTTTCAGCATGGAAGTGATGCTTGGAGTGATCCCCTCCTAAGAGGAAGAACAAATGCATAGGACCTTCAACACACAGTAATTTAAACCCCAGGCAAGGGTTCAGACTGTAGACAGATGTATACTATAGACTAAACCTGAAAAAAAACCCAAAAGGATTATCAGTCCAGGTCTTGAGAATACTTGATTTGGGAAAATTCACATGAAAATGCTGACACAGTCTCAATATAGAATTAAACTTACTGCTGCTGGTTATACAGAAGTTAAAAAAGGTTCTTGGAATCTGAAAAACAACTACTGTGTGTGTCACACAGGTATACAAAAACTCATTTTAGAACTCGTCCTCTAATGGTTTTCTTATTCATCTTGCCTTAAAAAACCAAGCCCAGGATTAAACTATCAAGTAAAGAGATTCGGCATTACCTTTACTAGAAAAAGAGGCAGAAATGGAATCCCGTAACAGCTTTTGAGAAGAGGTTCAAAACAATCAGAACGCAAAAAGTACAGATCAAATTTAAAACGCATACTTTTGTAAGGTCCTTTTATCTATTAGGATTAAAAATTATTCTGTCAACCTTACAGTAAGTACATTAGCCTGTCTGGAATCAAAATGAGGTCTCGCACAAGATTGGCCCCTGCGGCCCCACTGCCAAGGCCCCGGCTGTCTTGGAGCAGATTATAAAGCCAGGGCTTGCCCAAGGAGCCAAGCAGAGAAGGCTGCCCCTCTGCTGCTGGTAAGAAGCCCTCTCAGCTCCCCCATTTGAGGTCTCTCGCACCTCTCCCAGCTCCTGAGGAGCTGCAGCACAGGGCTGCTTAGTGGGGCACCTGCTGGTCCCAGGGAGCGAGGCAGCAGCCTTAGGGTGGCTCCAGCTTCACTGCACTACTAAGAGTACAGGAGAGAGCAGAGCCAAGCTCACAGCTCCCGTCTGCCCAGGCAGTGGGAGGTGGTCAGTGCTGATGCTGTGCCGAGGCCAGACTGACACAATGGTTAATAAAGCCCTTCCCCAACGCACACATTCGCGGTCTGAATGAGGATCTAAAATAGCAGTCTTGTTTAAGACACTTCCAAATCAAGACTGCTGCTTGTTGCTGCTCATTTTCAGCATGCTTTAGACAAGGAATGAGTAAAAAAAACAGAAGTGCTGTAAGAAAAATGTAGTGCTTTTATTGAATTAAAAAAAAAAATGGACCTTTGTTCAAAGTGTCCTTATAAACACAGATGAAAACTTTATATATCAAAAGTAACAAATATTTAAAAAAAAAAAGTACACAGTGTTTTGGCTCAGTATAACAACTTTCCTATCCCTAAAGGCAGGGATAAAGAGTACCAGTTTTTCATTCAATCCATTCCAGTCGGCAAATACAGTTCAGGAGGCCTGAGGTTGCTGGAACTCCGATGGCTGGCCTGCATGCTGCGAGCTGTCAAGGTGGAAGCGCAAAGTCAGTGTTGTACCCTAGTCCTCAGGTTACAACCACCGTACTTCCAGAGTCTAGTCTTCACATTTGATACAGGGATCTTCTTCACCGAGTCCTGTGACCAAACCGTACAGCTTCTGTCCCACTGAATTCTTCTGTTGACGTGAACCATAACAACAGGCCTTGCTCAGACGTATGTCAGCAGCCTCAGACTGATCTCGAGGCTCTTTTACCCTACAACGGGCTGTCACTGAACACACATTGTATGTGAAAACAGGCTGTATGCAACAGCTAAGTGAATGTGGCATTCCATGATCAGAACCGTTCTTGACACTTTTGTCGTGACTAAAACATGGAACGATCACAGAATGTAAGCATGTGCATTGGTCTATATACAAATAACATTAATCAATACAACACTCTACTACCAGTTTGAAGGAGTCTGATGTTTCAAATGCAGTTTTTTCCCGCCTATCCTGAAGTGAAAAGATTCTTATTCAACTCAGGCCAAACACACACTCAACCCCCGACGCTCAGAAGGCACTGCCTCTCAGAAACTGAGTTTCAAATTTCCAGACACACTGAGGTAACCAAAGCATGTCAGGTGGGAGAGGAACTTATTTCCACTGGTTTTATCACTCATCAGGCAGAACACAAGGGTGACACCATCAAGCCACGTTCACTGGGCAGTTCTTCCATGGGATGGCACCTTACACTATCAGTTTTGTTTGGCTGAGGAGGGAGGCATAAGAAGATAAAATGCTTGAGACATGAAAGAAGAAGACAACACTGCAGTGTCAAAACGAGTAGATGGATTCTGAAGGATGCAGAACGTTCATTTTTTCAGATGAAAAGGTGGAGTCATCAAAAGACCAACATAAAGAGAAAATTTCTGCCTAATACTGTATTAGCAACAGCCTTCAAGGACAGCTTAGAAAATGATGGAGTTCGACATGATAGTAAGTTGCTTGTTCCAAGATAAGGGAGCTGCATGGGAAAAGACAGGCTGGAGTTTGAACATGAGGAAAGCAAGAAGTGCTGCAAGAGAGAAGCTGGCAGGACACGAACAAGAATGCAGAGTTGCAAGAAGCACTTAAAGGCAATAACAGTCAAACGCTAAAGCTTCCACATACAAATAGATCTCATAACTTTAAAATGTAACTCTCCAGCACAGGCTGAAAAGCACAAGCATTTTGGCTCTCATCTCCTGCTCCTGTAAAATTTGTAACTATAAACATGGCATTAAACAGATCTGATAATGATAAATTCTTTCTTTGGGGAATTGATTTGACTGAATTTAAGAAATTACAAACTACATTACTGCCTATACACAAGTCAAACATAACTTCGGAGTTAACAAAATTGTGGTATATATAACATTAAGAAGAAAAAAAAAGAATGATTTAACACACACAGTAAGTTTTAACAACTTCCTTTCCCAAACAGCTGTACGGAAGTTCCAACTCCAGCCTGTTTGTCCAGCCGCCGACAAATTCAGTACACAGTCACCTCAGATTCCTTAACATCATCAGGGGAGAGGGGAAAGAGAAAACAGCTACAGGGGCTGACACAGGGCATCCCTCACTTTGAGTAGCAAGCAACCATGCTATTATACCTCTACTTTCTAAACGCATGTGGAGCCAAAAAATTATGGCCTCACCACCCCTATTCTTTTCCCATTGCACTCTGAACCCTCTGGGAACCAGATTAGCTCATTAACCTGGGAGAAAACTACCCCAAGGAAAAGAAAATTTCTGCCACATTAGTGTGCTCAGGCAGGTTCAGCTTTCACAGCTGACAAACGCTAGAGCCAGCACCCTGGCTGGGAACAGGAGGGGAGACCAGTTCTCCTTCAGCAACAGCCACCCAAGAGAAATAGGTGCCCTGAATCCCCTCAGTCTGGTCTTTAAAGTGAGGGAGATGAAGACAACCATCCTGTACTCCCCATAAGAGAGTACATGTCATCAGCTAATTGTTCCGCTTGGGTAATACGAAGAAATATATTAAGCCACTTAACTGAAAAAAAAAAAATCCTTGGAGATTAATTTTTTTTACTTAGTACAGCATTACAATGATATTTTTGATGTCTGTGTGGGACAAGTGACTAAAAACTGTACAGATCTTTAAGATGTAAAAAAGATCAAGAAGGAGTATTTATACTTTGTCAGGTTTAATAGCATGTTTGAGGGGCTGGAATTGTCTCCTACCTTTTCTCTTGGATGATAACACACTGATGCAGTTAACACAGAGGGATTTATCTTTCAGCAAACTAAACAAAGCAAAAAATGAACTTCTAACAAATAAAAGTTTTGTGTTATTTCACTAAAAAAATGGAAACGTTAACATTTATTCGCATCGACCATGCCCATTACATAGTATCACATTTATCATTAATATAGTTTCCTTCATATTCAACTTTTAACTATAAAAACCCCAAGTTTTCTGGGTTTTTTTTATATTTTTTTTTCCCCTTCCATTCTTAATATCAAAAGGATTTCACCAAATCACAGTGCAATTCTTGGAAAAGGCCTCACACTTCCTATGTGGTTTCCATGTCATCACTGTGCTACTGATGACATTACAAGGTGTTCTGTTGATCTGGCCAGAAGAAAGGACGATTCACTTCTGTAGACGAAGTTGTAGTACCTCCGATCCTGAAAATTTGGATGAGATCGTCTGCACAAAACAGACACACGTGACCCTTCAATCAATCCACCACCAACGACGTGAACTGAATTAGTCAATAAGTGTCATTTCTCTGTGGTATTTAGGGAGAACCGAAGTCTTTCGGTAACAAATGCAATTCCGAGGAAGATGCATTTTTTCTGGATGGCATGTGGTAGCGCACTTTCTTCCAGAATCTGGTACTGGCTGAGTGAGACCTTTCCGAGAAGTCACCTTTCCATCGGATAGCTCCATGCTTTTGCTTTACGTATTTAATGGCTTCTGGCATGTCCGCATAATCTTGTATTTTTTCAAGTTCAATGAGAATTACTTTAATGCCATCTTGGATAAGAGCATTATACATGGCTAGCTGCTTTTCAGACACCTCTTCCATAACACTGTAACAGGAGGGCTCTGGTACTAAAACAACTATCACCCTCCTACTTTGACGGATTTTTTCATCAGCAACACTGATCACAGCTGTAGAGAGAAAGGTTGCGCACAATTAAGGCTGTATGTTTCTATTTCTTGTCTCCAACATGTTGCAGCTGCTTCATTCACTGTTTGATATTTGAGTCAACACACTTCACCTCACAAACAGCGACAGGGTAAGAGCACACGAGCAGTTACATTGAGTTAGCCAACAAGCAGAGATTTGGCCAACGCAACACAGTCTGACCCCATCAGACTGCATGTCCATATTCTTGTTTTGCATAAACAGAGAAGAGCTACCAACTGTCTGCTATTTATCTCACTAATTTCATTTTATTACTATCACAGATGTTCTTGCAAAAAGCCTCAAGTTTCAAAGCCATAGGCCTGGACCTTTTTCCTTAAACAGCTTGTTCTGACATGCTTATCTGTTTCTTGTTACATGTAAAGTGGCAGAGAATGTAAAGAATCCTCCCTTTAATGTCATTCCTGACAATTAATTCTAAGCCAGCAAAATACAATAAACTCCACACAAAACCCATGCAAGCTATAACCCTGAGAACTGACTGTTGGGTTTTTTTCAAGCTGGAAAAACAGAGCAGCACTTCAGATTCTACTTCTCAGGGAACCCTTCCTTCTCAAACCACTACAAAAGCCTCCGGATGTAAAAAGTGATCCACAAACCAACTCATGTAGGTTTGTTCACACCCAATTTTCTTTGGACAAACACTTCTATTTAAGGCCTACTCTGCAAATGTATTCTGTCTCAGTATTATCTTTCTAAAATCGTAAGATCAGGAAGGATTCCAAAGACTTTCCTAATTTCACCTCACATTAGTCGTCAGTGGGACAGACTTTCCAATTTTCAGTGTCAGATGCTAGAAGTTTAAATCTGACACACATATGCATACAGAGGAAACCTCCCCAAGGACGTCAGAGCCTTGCAAGGAAAGCAATGCTTTGTAAGAACAAAGGACTTTGGGACAAGTAGTCTTTGATACAGCTGATTGTTTCTGCTAACTTAGTGTCACTTTGTATTCTTCTTTTCCCCCCACCTGAACTGTTTAAGCATCCATTATACCCTTTATTGAATCCCACTGGTTTGACAGCAATTCTCAGAGCAAATATAAATGAAACAGCAAAGAGGTCGTCCTGTCAAACAGCACCTCAAAGCAACAGGCTCTTTTCACTCATGAGACCTACTTTTCTGTGTTTCCTGCAATTAGTCATCATTCACAACCACAGTTTCAACCCCTCTTTCCCCTTGCCCTCAGCATTCTTCCATCTCCAGATGTCTAGGCTAGCTACACACTGAAAAAACCTGGAAGAGCTAAATGATGACAAGGGAAAGGCTGAGATGAACAGACTTCATGGGAGCACCCAGTGCTCTCTCTCTCATTCTCCACCACAGAAAATAAGAAAAATCATAGCTCATTCGATGGTGGGAGGTATCTAGAAACATATCTGATTTCATTGGTAGCTGCAAATACAACTCAGAAATAGGCAATCAAAAACTTGAGTATAATTTGTCTTTGGATAGCCTACCTTCTCCTGGCAAATCATCCCTCCCAAATATGAAGAGGTTATATCCACATTGTCTTTCCAATACCTCTGGCAGTATCTTCAGAGCAAAAATACTTGATGAATACAAGCAGCTCTCTCTGTTCTTTGGATACAGAACGTAAGCATCGTAGATCTTCCCATCTGAAACTAAAGAGTGAGCAATACAGTAATATAAAAATGGATTCTAAAGACACAAAAGCAAGCAAAATAACCTCTAAACTCTGTTTTTCCCTTCCTACTTGAATAATTCTTTAGGTGGTAATCCTGTTACCTAAGCATGTATAATTATAAAGACTGAAATATTTGTAGAACCAAGCTTTCTAGAACTCAGTATGTTGGATCTGAATAGGCAGAAGAGACCTGCCAAATTAAGTAGGTTTGAATATTCTTTTTTGAACTTTGAATTAAAAAAAAGTGTTATCACTGAATTATCCAGAAAATAGCGGTTTCAGTAGTACAACTGACTACTTAAAATTCCATCTGCCATACAACCCATAGGTAATTTTTGTAACCTGGAGTTTTAAAACACAGCAACCACTTAAGACATGAAAAACAAATCAAAGTATTTGGCAAAATTCAAGGTCTGAATTGTATTAAGATATTTTGGAACAAACTTTTCAAAAAGACAAACTTTAAAAGGCTTTACACAAATCTAACAAAATCTTAATACCTCTAGAAGATATGTTCAGTTTTAGAGTCATGTACCCCTCACCCCTCAGATGTTTGGAATTGACCCATACTTTAGCATGCTCTCACAGACAGCATAATGCTATCAACATTTTTCTGAATGCCATGAATTTACAGAAAGCAAAATAATCAGAAGTACCCTTAAGTAGTAAACAAATGAAATTGAAATTTGTCCTAATTCATCTGTGGAAAATAAAAAGCACCCAACAATTTCACTGTATTACTGCTTTCTGTAAGAACGGTAAATAAGATTAACTGCTGCCAGAACAGCATTCAAACAACCTAAATGGGCATACAGGGAAAGGAATGACTACTGGATTCCTGGAAAGTTACTAATTGTTCCCCTGTAGATGCTTTTGTTATCTGAACTAATTCCAAACATCCTAAAAAACATGCTATCCCTTCAAAATTCCCAAGGAAGACCAAATCACACTCCATGAGATTAACTCATCGCTTTGCAAGGGAAGGTGGAGGATCATTACAACACACAGCACTGTTAGGCAAACATACCTTTTTTACTAAGGAAAGAATGGCAGGAGTCCCGATACCAAAGCACAATATCAATTTTGAAGATCTTGTAAATAAAAAGAGTAAAAAATACTAAAAATACCAAGGAAGCTCCTCCTCCAATTAAGTAACCCTGAATGTTCTGAGCTGCAGTGGAATGGAATAAGAGAGAAAATTAACAAAATGGTTATACACTAGAATAAGAGAAAGACAAAACAGATGTTCAAAATTATTTTTTTAATATTTTGATGACTAAACAAGAAAAAAAGGAATGAGTGAGTACAACTGAAGGTTTTTCAGGTATGCTTTCTATAAATACTGTAATTTGACAAGTCTACTTTTCTCTTTCAGATTAACGGTACACTAGCAATGTGACAAATGAGGTTACTCTTCAGCTGAAACACCAAAATCTTGACGTGTACCCCAGTGCAGCAGTAGAGTGAGAATTCTTGTACAAAATTTTATCAGTCAGGAAGCAAGAGTCAGAGGTGGAAAGGTGATTTCCTGACCATGCAATTCTCCCCAGACCAACTGACTTTCCATTGTCTCTAGACTCTTCGAAGATCTGCCATTGAACCTACTCATTTGTTGTCCTTAAAACAAACACATGCCCTCCACAAACTGCAGTTGTGCAACAATAAAGGCCTCCAACAAGGAGGAAGGTGATAACGCATCAGTAATGTGAGTATTTCTGAATATGCAGTGTGAAATGTTTTTAATATTAATAGTAATGTAGTATTATATGACCAAAAAAAAAAATATCACAAAGTTACTGAGCTGCATTGCCCACTTTGCCCAACGGTACATCACGCAGTTCTAGCTCTATGTAGGCTTTTGTCAAACGAACAGCAAGTAAGCATCACTGTTTTATCAAGATGAGATCTCTTACCTGGCTGTTCCAGTTTGATGTAGGCTGTGAATTGCTGAGAACCATATACAAAGTGACAGAAAAATTTATAAGCGTAATCCTTTACTTCCACACTGGAAATGTTAAATTTTGTTCCAGATACAGCAAGTCCATGAGGCATCGCCTCTCTGTCATTAAAAAAGGGTAAAAAAGGAAACATCTGTCGGGAAACTGGAATATCAGTGCTTAATATAGGATAAATTCATCTATCCACAACTACAACATTCATTTTTTACTTCAATACACCTAAGAAGCCAGTGAAGCACAGCAAGTATCACCCCTGTAACAAACAGCTTCGTGACCAGAGGCGACTTGGTGCTTTCCAGACGCATCCGGTTGTTGGTGGGTTTTTTTGGGGGTTTTGTTTTTTGTTTGTTTTTTTTTTTTTCCCCGGGTGGGACATAGTGCACCACTAGTTTTGTATCATCTGCAAAACCACTCAAAGGGATGGCTGATACACCAGAGGGTCATGCTGCCATGGAGAGTAATCCTTGACAGGCTGGGAGAAATGGGCCGGCAGTAACCTCATAAGGATCAAAGCAAAATGCAAATCCTTGAGGAGGAATGCCTGGGGACAGGTTATCCTGGACTGCATTAAGAGGAGAGCTGCCAGCAGGTGGAGTGAGATGATCCTTCCCCTCTACTCAGTACTGGTGGGGTCACACCTGGAGTCGTGGGGCCAGTTCTGGACTCCCCAGTACAGGAGATGTATGGATTTATTGGAGTAAATCCAGTGCAGGGCCGTGAAAATGATTAAGGGAGTGGAGCATCTCTCATGTAAGAGAGCAAGGACTGTTCAGCCCAGAGAAGAGACAGCTACAGGGGGTGGATTTTATTAATGTGTGTAAATACGGTGGGAGGGAGTGGAAAAGAGGGAGCCAGGCTCCTTTCAGTGGTGCCCACTGACAGGGCAAGAGGCAATGAGCACAAATTGAAACACTCCCATCTGAAATTCCATTTCAACACTTTTTTTTACTCTCAGTGTGGTCGAACACAGGAACAGGTTGACCAGAGAAGTTGTGAAGTTTCCACCCATGGAGATATTCAAAACCCAACTGGACACAGCCCCGTACAACCTGCTTTAGCTGACCCTCCTTGAGCAGGGGTTTGAACTAGACAATCCCAGAAGGTCCCTTCCAACTTAAATGATTCTGTGAATGAAAAGACTATTCAAACCAGTAGTAACTAGTAATGAAAGTGTCAAGGGAAAAATAATCTTCCAGGATTTTTTATGCTGCTGAAGCAGCAGAAGCCTTTCTAAGCATACTAACAGCCTCCCTGAGCCCACAGTGTCCACAGTCAATGGCACCAACCAACTTGGGAAATAATGATGGACAAAATTCACAAAAGCTGGGTGACCCTGGTCTCAAATGACAACAAACATGGTGATTATACCACCTTTATGTCTGAAACCTATTGCCACAAGAGGCTTGGAGATACAATACCCTATCCTGCAGAACACCATCCTCCTCTTAGTCAGATTCAAGTGTAAGGTGGGAGGGGCTGCAGCAGGAAAGCGACATGAGCTTACGTACTCAAGGAGGAAAACTCATTTTCCAGATCATCCTGAAGAACCAGTTTCTATTACATATATAACTTCCCAGCAACTTCTGTCGTGAGATGCCAATACAAACCTCATCATTTTGCAACATGTTCAGATTTGTTCAAGTTAGTTTTAACTTTCCTCCCAGCAGAGGAAAAAGTTACTTCTAGGGTAATCCCGCAAGCCTGTAATGTTGGCCATGCCTACAGTGTGGCACTGCTACTAACAAATGCTCCACAAATTTAGTTGCCGAGAAATTGTTACGATTTTTTGAAATAAAACAGTATTATTGTTGCAATTAGATTAATTTCTCTGATACTGGATAACTAACTTTGAAAAATTAATCCTAATTAGAATTTGCATAGGCTGTATCTTGCGCACCTCCATCCCTGCATGAGAAAATTATCAGGCAGGGTAGTGATTAGAAATGGAGATCACTTCCAAGCAAGACAAATTAACAAAGAACTGCTTGAAGTTAAATATATTAAATGCTTTTCAGGAAGATGTATTTAATAGCATCACCAAGTTGATTTCAGAAGAAGCTGCATTTATTATAGTTTTAAATATTGCTACACAGAGCTGCACATGTGTCTTAACTGGTGAAGCTGAGAAACTTCACACCCTAAAGAATAATGGACTTAGTTGTTCCTTAGAGACCATGAAGTCTGCAGGTGACACCAAGCTGAGTGGTGCAGTTGACATGCCTGAGGGATGGGATGCCATCCAGGGAGACCTGGACAAGCTCAAGTCCTGGGCCCACGTGAACCTCATGAGGTTCAAGAAGACCAAGTGAACCTGGGTCAGGGCAAATCCAGGTATCCATATAGGCTGGGGATGAAGGAGGTGACAGCAGCCCTGCAGAGGGCTGCAGAGAAGGACTTGGGGGTACCAGTGAACAAAAAGCTGGACATGAACCGGCAGTGTGTGCTGGCAGCCCAGAAAGCCAACCGTATCCTGGGCTGTATTAGGAGAAGTGTGTCCAGCAGGTCGAGGGAGGAGATTCTCCCCCTCTGCTCTTGTGAGACCCCACCTGTAGTACTGCATCCAGCTGTGAAGCCCTCATCATAGGAAAGACATGGACCTGTTGGAGGGGGTCCAGAGGAGGGCCACAAAATTGATTAGCGGGCTGGAGCACCTCTCCTATGGGGACAGGCTGAGAGAGTTGGGCTTGTTCAGCCTGGAGAAGAGAAGGCTCTGGGGAGACTGTATTGCAGCTTTTCAGTACCTGAAGGGGACTTATAAGAAAGATGGGGACAAACTTTTTAGTAGGCTCTGTAGCAATAGGACAAGTGGTAATGGTTTGTGCTGGATTCAGCCAGGAA